GTCCTGGGCATCGAAATCCCAGCAGCACGCAACGCGCCTTTTCCTAATACGTGCGGCCAAGTTGTTCAGTCGAAAAACACGTGTGTGCGCTGGCCGTAATGGCTGTGCTGCTGACCACGTAGCTGCGACTGATGCTGCTGTTGGCGCGCCATTATGGGTGCGCGTACCCGGCCCGCACCCGGTTCCTGGTGCTGCATGGGCGGTGGCGGGCCCCGACCATAACTTCCCTGGCCGCCGCCGCTGCCACCGTAGCCGCCCCCGCGCACATCGCCGCCGTGGTAGCCGCCACTTTGCCGGTCGTGGCTGTGGTGGTGATCCTGGTGGGAGTGGTGGTGGCTGTGATGGGAGTGGTGGCTGTGGTGGGCGTGGTGGCTGTGATTGCGTTGCCCGCTGCCGCCACCGCCACTGCGGTGGTGCTGACGGTGGCTCTGGTAGGATGGTGGCGGCGCATAGCCTGGGTGGAATGTCGGCGCCGGCACTGCTGCTGTTGCTGCTGGCAGCTGCTGTTGCACGCTAAGATGCATTAGCGCAGCACGTCGTTCCTGTTGCGGTTGTTGCTGCTGCAGTGGGCGTGGAAGGGACTGCTGCTGTTGATAGTGGTGATTCTGCTGCTGCTGTTGCTGGTGGTGGCTGTGCTGACCTTGATGGTGATGCCGCTCCTGTTGCGGCTGCTGTTGCTGCGATGATCTGCTTCCGTTGCCCGGTGGCCTGCTGCCGCCCTGCGGGGAGCTTTTCTTCTGCTGACGTCCATCAACCCGCGCGCGCTTGGCGCTACGCGCCGGCGTTGCGCCTCCGGCTCCTGTACCCGCTGCCGCCGGCGCCGTCGCCTCCGCCGTATTCTCCTCCCGCCGGCGCTTCTGCGGCCGGCCTTCACCTTTGCCACCACCCCCGCTACCGCCTTCCGCAACACCGGCGGTGCTGCCAGCGCCTCCCCCCCGCTCCGGCTTCCTCTGCCTCGTGGCCTGCCGTCGCTGTCTGCGCTGCTCCTTTAGCTCCTTCTTCTGCTCTTCCCGCTGCTTTGCCTTCCCGGCCGTCGCAGCACCCTTTTCCGTCCGAGTCCGCTTGCTCCCGCTGCCAGGGCCATCTCCTCCCTTGCCGGGCCCTCCCCCATCCGGCTGGCCCTTGCTGTCCCCTCCCTCCGTCGCAAGATTGTCCCGGCTCCGCTTCCTCCCATTCCCCTTCGCAACCCCGCCCTCGCCGCTATTGGCACCCCCGCCGCTTCCACGGCGCCGGCTGCGCTTTCCGTTTTGTCCCGCCAGCGACTCCTGTTGTTGCTGCTGTTGCTTTCGCTCACTGGGTTGGTCCCTGCCAAGCTTCTCATGGTTCTCCCGACCCGGGGGTTCTGAGTAGTAGCCCAGCTCTCGAAGGTGGGGCACCCCGGGGCGGGGCCTGCTGGCCAGGATCGGGCCGAGGCGCAGGATGCGCGCCAGCAGCGACTCATCCCGCCGCGACGGCGCCGTCAGCATCTGCGGTCCGTGCAGGTAGGGCCCGGATGCCAGGTACGGGAATGCGGGAAAGGAAGGAAAGGGGGCCGAGCATTGCCATTATACAATGTTCAAGTCCGGAGGCCGTGGCAGCAGATGTGGCGGACAGTTTGGGGCTGCCGTCAGGGCCGCAGTCGGCACCGCAGCGATCGCCGCCTCAGGCGCCATCCTTCCTTCTCCGCCTTACGCGTGGCGAACGCAGAATGAACTATGACACAGACACACACACACACACACATACACACACACGCGCGCACACAACGACGGCCAAGTCTACATCTGAACCTGACGAGCTTGTCGATCTTGGCATACCCGTGTTTTATCACGATCACATCCACACCTGGTACGCGTACTCAAAGGCCGTCTTCACGCGCATGATGTTGAAGGAATTGCGGCAGACGTCATTGTCAGGATCCTGCGGGTCAGGTGGTGAGCCCGAGCAACCGCGCAATAGGGGCACAGCCGGTTTAGCAAAGCAAGGATGCCGCCCGTGGTCTTCCCCCGTCGCTACAAGGCAGTAAGGGGATCCCAGCTCTCACAGCGGCGGTTATTGCCTTCCTCAGGTGGACAAGCCGGCCTTGGCAGGTAAAGTGACCGCCCAGCGCAATGACCGGAAACGGTGCCTAACGGGCGTCCTGAAAAAGCAAACAGGCAGGCTGAATTCTGAACCCCTCCACGTACCGCGGCAGCCCTAAGACCTCATCAAAAGCGCGCTTTTAAACCACTGCTGCACAACCTCTGCAAGCGCTCCCAAACAGGTGTATCCCATATATGCCATGTCCCTTGCCATTCCCACTGTGGCCTGCCCCGTTCCGGACCCGGTCCAATCTACTCCTGATGTGTGTTTCCTTCCAATCCAACCCAGTTTTTTTCACTGCTCGCCTCACCCGTTCCTCTTCTTTCCTCCTGTCCCCCTATTCCTTCTTCCGCTTCATCTTTAGCACTCTTTGACCCGCAAGGATCCAGGACTCGACCCGGCCCCGGGGACCCCGGATCGACACCTGGCCCACCTTGGGGTCCTCCACTGCCAGCAGGAACATGCGGTCCTCGTTGAGCCAGCCCCTGAAAGAGGCGCGAACGTCACTGGGGCTCTGCTTGTCCACCTTGCGGAAAAACCGCCCTCCGCCGGCGCAGCTGACACCCACCTGCATGGCGCGTTGAGGGTGCGTGCGTAGCAATGGCGGGGCAGGGTTGCGTGGTGCGGTGTGGTGGTGGCCGGGAAGGAGGTTGCGGTTAAAAGTGCATGGAGCCACGGGCGCATGGACGCGTCCTGTCACGTGTCTTTCAATTACAGCGAGCCGCGAGATTGAGTGGCGGGCAGCAAGCTGGAGTAATGAGCAAAGAGGACGCAATAGGAGGTCGGAAAGAGCAGAGAGCCATCTATGCTGGCGGCAACGCCATGTCGGACTATCTGGTCTTGAAGAACCCATGCCATCCTGGCTCTTCCCCTTTCCATCTCCCGCCTTACGTCAGGTATGTTGACCACACGGCCATAAAACCGGAGGAAATCGACCAACAGCGTCCCCAGCCCCGGCTCAACGCAGCCGCTGTGGGACGGCAGTGCCGCGTCACCATGGGTGCCGTACACCGGCAGCGCCGCCGGCTGCCGGCTGCCAGTGCCTCCAGACCCCGTTTTTGGCCTCCGTGAGGCATGCAGCTGCAGGAAAGCAGCTACTAGCGTGATGAGTGCGTAGGAGCCAATGCCGCCCGTGTAGACCTCGTTCAGCTCCCGCTGCTGTAGAAAAAGCTTGAGGCACAAAATCAGCGGCCGCATCATGGGCCAAGCAGCGGTCATCTCCGACACCAGCACGGCAGCCTGCGTAACCGCCATCGTACAATGTACGGAAATGGCGCCGTACACATAGCAGCGAAGCATCGTACTAAGGACGCCCGGCCCGGAGAGAGCTCGCATTCGCATTGATAAGCACATGGGTTCAGGTTAGGGAGGGAGGGTGAACGCAGGGTGGGCAGAGATTTGCGGAGACCACGTGGTGGTGTGGGCACAGGGATTTCAGAGCATTGACAGTCTGAGATACCGGTTTCTGGTGTTTCTGGCGTGTGCCATCGGCGAGGCCACCTGTCGCGGCTTAGCTCCGGAAACAGTTCCGTTCGTTATCAACACGGAAGCACAAGACCTGGTGAAACACACACACACAAAAAAACACATATACCGTCTTGGAAAGGGCTGTGCTTGTCAGGGCGGGATTGCGGGGCGGCAGGACGGTGTAGGACAACACATACTTCCGCATATAGCATTATTCGTACACGTGCTGAATGGTAACGTTGCTAGTGTTACTTAAGGAGTTCTCTGGTGCTTTTAAGTAGGCAAGAACGAAGCTGGCCGGGAGGTTCTCCTTTCTGAGTAGGACGGAGCACCGTACGGGGTGTTCCTACCAGCACCTCACATGGCGGGGCGGTAACGATTGACGCAGAACTGCCCTCGGCACTTCATTCCTTAGCCCATCACGTCCGATAGGGCACGAGAAGGGATTCCTACGGTGCGCATGTGTGGAAGAGGCCCCCAGTGTCTATCTCCCCGCTCCGGGCCCGGGCACCCTACACGGGGATTCGCGGTTTCGGAGCTTACCTGCGGCCCGTTGGCCACATCGAAGGAAAGGTCAAAGGCCAGGTTGCCGTACTCGACCGTCTCGAACTTGACGATGGGCACGCGGGCTTTGCCGACGACCTGCGCGCGCGTGTATAATTGGAATGTGTGCATCGGTGCGAATGTGAGAGCAAGATACACGGAAGTGTACGTCTCTCAACAGACTGCGAAGTACGGACCAACGGCACCGTCCCCGCGAATGGCGCACAGTGTGCGTGTGTTTTCCCTCCATTTCGCTCACGTACACCTACGCTATCCCGCATACAGCCGCCCATCCAACACCAGCCGGCACCGGTCCCAGCCGCGTCGGTCGGCCACCGCCCACGGCCCCGGCCACGTCACCTGTATGTTTTGCGCCATTTGGCGCTTGGACAGCGACGTCGCCAGTGCCTTGAGTCCGGCTTGCACATTGGTGCAGCCGCTGTCCAGGATAACCAAATCGATATCGGAGGTGGGCACGTACAGCCCCGTGGCGTACGAGCCAAAAACCTCACACCTGATTGGCCACACCAACAAACAGGACAACGTAACCATGTAAGCATAAGCCACAAGCCAAAAGGTTCAACTGCAGGACGACGAATTTTAACAACTAAAGAGACATCTGGATTCACAAACGGGTGGTCCACTCGCTGGAAGGTAAGAAACGGAACCCCGGACCCAAATCAGACGGGCGAGTGGGTGGGTGGGAGCTGGGTGACTGTGGGCGCAAGTTGCAGTGTGGGCGGGACCCGAGGGCCATTTTTAGGTGGTTCCGCACATGCCTTGCACCCCGCCCTGACGTAGGCCGTGGGATACCTCCGTCCGGCCGCTGCGCCTCCTCTCCATGCCCAGTGGACCTCCTTCTTCTCCACCCCGTTCCGCTCCCCTGGACATACGGACATACGGAGTGCACCCCCGCCACCACCACCCACCTGGCTTGCGGCCAGATGGATTGAACCACCTCAGCCACCGCCGCCACCGCCGACCGCCGAGCCGTCGCTTCCTCCGGCGTGGGCTGCACCAGCTCGCACAGCTCCACCAGCTCTGAGGAGAGGAAGGGGAGGAGGAAGGATTGAACCAAGGAAGCGAAAACTTAATTGCTTATGGGCCTATAGGCAACCGCTGCGGGCAACCTGAATATAGAGACCTGAAGAAGATGGAGAAACTTCTTAAAAGATAAGGGACTCGGAAAACCACGACAAAGGAGGAGCCCGGAAGAGCGCAGGGAGAAGGGGTTATCCAGGGATAGGAAGCCCAAGCCCGGCAAGGAAGAAACTGCTTAGAAGCCCGGACGCGAGCTCGTGAGAACATATGCGGCACACATACTGACTGTGGGTGCCGTTGCATCGTTGTATCATAACATGCGGCAACCAAGAGCATTTTTTCGTCAGTAGCCAACCCCTGTGCGCGATAAATCCGTTCTTCAGTCCATTACTCGAGCCCATCACCGTGGCATGGGGTGTTCTGATGTGGGTCACGCTGGATAGGGCGCCAAAAGATGTCTTGGCCCCGGCGTGGGGAGAAGCATGCAACGGAATTCACTGCCGTGGATGGTTTCGTATTAGCAAAAAAACATGCCTAACATCTATTGTCCTTGTGCATCGAGCAGAGATGCGCATCCCTCACAAGTCGCGCATATGTAAGGTTTGCAGCTCAGGATTTGGGCTTCGTTTGGTTTACGCGTCTGGTAGGTGTGTTGGACCACGGACCTTGGTGCAGGCGTAGGAGCGGGCTGTCGATGCGGGACACGTACGACATCCAGTACGGCCGCTGCCCAAGTCGGCGAATTTCTTCCTCATCCGCAAGTGCATCCGCAGACCCCGGGGCGGCGGCTTTGGCGGATGTGCTTTTCCCGGTTGTTTTGACAGGTGCCGTCTCGCGCAGGGGGATGAACTCCGCCGAAATGGGTTTCGCGTTGGTGCCCTTGCTGCCGTCGCCTGCAGCCTCCAAGGAAGTCACCGCAGCTTGCGCTGGCGGGGGGATCGCTGAGGCTCTGCGCTCGCTCTCGGAATCGGACAAAAGGCTGATCACTTCCACCGCCTGCTTCGGCTCTGCAAAACCGTCCTGAGGCTCGTCTTTTTTCTGCTGCGCTTTAGCCTCTGGCGCTGCAATATTTTGTTTGGGTGAAGTTGCTGGGCTCTGCGCTGGCTGCCCAGTAGCATCCGCTGACCGTTCCACCGCAGCAAATGGCAAACCCTCGTTACGTTGACCCGCGGGAGCATCCTCTTTAGCTGGTTTTGACTTTGACAGGTCTGGGATAAGAGTAGGTAGAAGAGCTTTGGCAGACGGTACCGTAGAAAGCAACGTGTCTAGGAAAGAGGAGCTGGCCGCCTTGCTCGCAGCTGCACCTACACTTTTGCCGCCAAGGCCCAATGTAAAGCCTAAGGACTTGTATGCTATAGACCGTTGTTCAGCCATTCCTTTAATCCCCCTTCAGTTGCAAGGTGCCGAAAGAACAAGACTAAGTCCTCTACATGTAGGCTGCCTAAAGGACGCTGGTAATTCGGAGGTAAAGGAGACGTAAGGCAACCATTAGGGCGAATACCGATGTGGAAGTTCAGCACGAATGAATACAGTTTCGTTTTCCGTACCATGAAGTGGTTAGAGACCAGCGGAAACCCCACCTTGCTGCCATGATTGCAAGTCCCACTCGCCATGACGTTGTGTAGTCGCAAATTAGCAAATTAAAATTAACCATGCAATCCCAAACGCCTCTCGAGCAGAAACTAGGACCTTGCCGTCGACCCACAACGTGAATAAAATGCCAAAGAGCAAGCTAGCTGCAATAAAGCAACAACTTCGCGCTGCAGAGGAAGATGTTGAACTCAAGGTCCGGATTTGTTTCCGTGGTTTCCAAGGGGTTGCGGTTCTAAATGCGCTTGAAAGCACGGCATCGCAATCGGCAGCATCGGTCCTGCGAGGACCAAGAGAAAGCTCATATATGCCCATCACTTAGCTATAAGTCCTCGGTTCCTGTAAGTCGCATCTCGATATGCCCCGTCTGGGTAACCCGCATGGCGCCCACAGACTCAGCAGCTGGAAGAGCTCCGGGACCAAGTGGCGGAAGCTCGTCTTAAAGTTGAGAAGCTGGAGGGCGAGGTCAACACAAACGCAGCGCTGGAAGATGACGGTGAGCGAGTTGGTTATAAAAAGTAGGCAAGCTTACACCGCCGTTTGGCAGCCTCCTCAGCCCACCACATCCTTGCCCAGGCTACCACACCCCACCACACCTTACCCGCCACGCCTTTTACTATCACGTAATGTTTTATCAGTACTGGACGCCAATTTGCGGCAAGAAGAAGTTGGCGAGCTGCTTCCGGCATCATGCCTATGGGAGCAGAAAAGGCCGCAACCATGGAGACATCGCGAGTACCGTTTCTCCTAGTTTCTGTCATCTCTCCATCCTTCTCTCTAATTCCCCTCGCGCACGAACACAAGCACACACACACAGAGGATTAAAGTGTGTAGCAATTTGTAATGTGCGTCCGCTTTTCCCCCTCTCCCTCGACGCCTTGGGCAGTCGACCCTTCCTTTCTTCTTGCATGACGTGACTCCGCCCCCCCCCCTCCGGCCCTCTCGCAGTGCAAGTGCTGCTGCGGCACCAGCGGGAGACCGCCGCGGCCTTCATGGACTACGAGGTGCGGCTGGAGAGAGGGGGAGAGAAAAAAGGGGGGGAGAGAGAAAGGGGGGAGAAAGAAAAGGGGTGCACCATGCTAGCGGGAAACAAACATAGGTGGTGTGGTGTGGTGTGGTGTGGTGTGGTGTGGTGTGGTGTGGTGTGGTGTGGTGTGGTGTGGTGTGGTGTGGTGTGGTGTGGTGTGGTGTGGTGTGGTGTGATGAGCTCCGCCCACTGAGCTCCAGGGGGGAGTGGTGGAGGGGGCACTAGGAACGGAGAGCTGGGGAGGGCGACCGGCTTGGTTGGGGGGGATAGGGGGAGCCTTTGCGTGCGGGTGGGGGGGAAGCGCGCTGCCGCTTCCGCCTCAGCTGCCGTTACCCCGCTGTAGTTGGTGCTGCTGCTGCGGCGGCTGCTGCTGTTGCTGCTGCTCCGGCGGCGGCGGCGGCGGCTGCACGGCAGCGCTAGCATTGGCAGCCAAGAAGTAGCGCAGCAACAGCGATCGGAGCGGCCGTACAACAGGGGCAGCAGCAGCAGTGGCTGCGACTATCGCTCCAGGGGGGCCAGCGGACATGCAGTTCCGCGTGGTGACAGATTGGGTTCCCCCGGCACCGCATCCCCCCCCCCTTCTTCCCCCCCTTCTTCCCCCCCTCTTCCCCCCCTCTTCTCCCCCTCTTCCCCTCCCTCCTGCCCTTTCATCATCGGACGTTGACACGACATTCGACCCTCTGCAGCTTGCCTCAGGCGATTCCCTCCTTTCCCCCCTCCTTCCCCCACTCGCCTCCAGAACCGCGTACTGGCTCTGGAGCTCCAGGGGCTGGTGGACCGCTGGAGGACCATGGACATCGAGGTTTGTGGGCGTGTGTGGCGTAGGAACCATTGGTGGATTCGATAGAGGAAGGCGGGGCCAGCCGTTGTACCCCCTCCCCTCCCCCCTCTGGACTATCCATCCATTTCTGGTATCTGCTCCACTCGCCTGCGGTTCGTCTTAACCTTCTTCTCCTTCCCCCCGCCGCCAGTTTAAAAACCTGAACAATCTGAACCACAAACCAACCCCGGTCTCGCCCACGTACAAATACACCTACACAAATGCCGTACACATGCCGTACAGGAGCTGGCCCAGCAGAATCACGACCTCCGTGGAGAGTGTTTGCGACTGCAGCAGGAAAACATGCAGCTCAGTAGGTACGTCTGTACGTATGTACGTAGGGGGATATGAGGCCATGTGGTGACAAGGGTAATGATGATGATGGTAATGATGATGGTAATGATGATGCCCAATGCAAAATATTAAAGATTTGCATTAAAAAAACCTCCGACGGACGTCCAAATCAAGCACCAGGCAACAGCCTTCAAGAAGCTCTGTGGGGGGGGTCTTAACAACGGGTGAGGGAGAGGTAGTTACGGCATTTGAGGGCTGGGGGTGGTAGGCAGCTGGTGACAAACGTTGGCGTTGAAATGACGTGGGGGGGTGGTCTGGGAGGTGCAACCAGGTGGTCGTCATCGTGCCATCGTCGCGACGTACAAGCCCCAATTTCCCGTACACGTTCCCGTTTCCGTACATATACCCTCGTACACGTCTGCAGGACGGTGGCGGAGAACAGCTTATCCGCGCGACGTGATTTGGCCATGATTGAGTCGGCGTTGGAGCACACGGTACGGCAGTTTGATAACAATACGATAGTACGATCGCCGTACAGCTTCTTTCGATCCATTTCCAAAAATGTATCTCTAGCTGTCGCGTGTGTGATCTCGCCCATATCCCATATACATACAACCCTGACGGCAAGAGTGAGGGCGGCCTAGGGGGGACGAACCGGCAGCGCCACCGCACCTTTCTTGCATTGGCTCCAAATTGCCGCCCTTGTTGTTGCATGTTGTTGTTGTTGTTGGTGGTGGTGGTGGTGGTGTTGATAAGGGTGTAGTGTCGTGGTTGGGCCGTAGCGCAGTGCAGCACAGCTTTCCCCCCTCTTCCCCGCCTTCCCCCCTCTTCCCCCCTCTTCCCCCCTCTTTTCCCCTCTTTTCCCCTCTTCCCCCCTCTTTTCCCCTCTTTTCCCCTCTTCCCCCCTCTTCCCCCCTCTTCCCCCCTCTTCCCCCCTCTTCCCCCCTCTTCCCCCCTCTTCCCCCCTCTTCCCCCCTCTTTTCCCCTCTTTTCCCCTCTTTTCCCCTCTTTTCCCCTCTTTTCCCCTCTTTTCCCCTCTTTTCCCCTCTTTTCCCCTCTTTTCCCCTCTTTTCCCCTCTTTTCCCCTCTTTTCCCCTCTTTTCCCCTCTTTTCCCCTCCTTTCCCCTCTTTCCCCCCCTTCCCCCCTCTCGCCCATCTCCACCTGTTTTGTCCGTTGCGATTGGTGGCGGCAGGTGAAGGAGAAGATGCGGGAGATGCACGACCGCCTGCGGCAGGAGCTGTACGACGAGTTGGACGACAAGACCAAAAAGATGGTAAGAGACAGGACCCTTATATGCTATTGCTGGAGGGCGGAGTTCAGGTCGGGAGCTTTCCCCTCTCCTCCCCATCCGCTCCCCGATGGGTCAATTTCCTTGAAGCGTCCAAAATAACCGCAACATCAAAGCTACAGGACCAAGCCCAATACAACCCGAACCTAACTGTCAACAACTGTCCCCAACCGCAATAAACCGCAATGCGACCGTATTACGAACATTACAAACGGCAAAAGCTACTACCAACCGCAACACAACTGCTACCGGCCGCCGTACACCGCAACACAACCGACACGTGTTAGCTCACCATCTCCCCCCTCCCCTCTCCCCTCCCCTCCCTGGCCCCCTGGACAGGTAGCGGAGCACGGCTACCTGCAGGACTATGTACGGGAGCAGGCAGCGCAGGCGGCCACACTGGACCGACACTGCCGTATGCTGCAGGTACACACGTGCCGCGGGCGATGGAGGCGAAGGGGAAGTTGAACACTTGCACCGGGGCCGAGAGCTCTTTTCGGCTTCGAAAGAAGCTGACCACCCTAGTTTTTGCACGTGTGTGTGTGTGCACCAGTGTGCAGGTGTTTGGATGCGCCCCTCTTCCTTGCCGTACAACTTCC